ATCTTTGTCATAAACGGATACCTTTCATTACTTATCAGGGGATAAAATAAATCCATGTAATCACGGAGTGACAACGACAAAATCTTAACGCAGGCCAAAATTACACTCATTTTCTTGAAATTTATTCAGTAGTGAAGAAATTCTTTTATTCCAACAGTTTGGAACTGAAGCGGTTTTCATAGTGACGCGAAGTCTCAAAAGGAGAGTCGACGCAGATATAGGTTATTCCCATGCGTGTAGCTGGCGTACTCCCAGCAGACATTTGCACACTTTGAAAAACTTGTTGAACCTTCATTTTATAACATTAATTTTCGTACTCTCTAGCCATCAAAATTGCCACGCACATACGTTAGCAAAGCCACGCCCTTGTGGGAAAAGACGATATATAATTTGCAAAGCGCAATGCTGCATGAGCATCCGATTATAGTGTCAAGATAATGAGTGCTGCGGTTTGCGTTGTCGAATAAGGTGATTGTACTCAAACTTTTCACGAAGATAAGGTAATCCACTAATCTACTTAATGTTTGTCTTACGTGCGATTCAGAACGACGCTCCTGCGCCTATTTGAGAAGCCTAGGAAATCTTATCATTGTTTTAGTCGTTTTAAGACCATCTTTTTGCACCGTGCATTCAAACGTGAAATGCAATCAATCAATTCAGAAAGATGATCATTTATTTCTATTGCTCGAACATACGAATTGCAGAATCACATTCCGTTTTTGCAAGCAAAGTGAAGGAAGTGTAGGAGTTCGGAACTTCATTGAAAATAAACTTATTAGCCTAGGTGCGTTGACTTATAAACTTCGCATTCACCAATAGTTCCGATTGTTAACATATTCAGGTCAACAGAATCCCTCTGTTGTGATTTACACGCAACCAGTGCGTAATGCTAATCCAACGATTCGTGCCGAATATGGAAACGGGAGGATTGTACAATTAAATGCCAAAAATATGAGTATGGCTGATGTAGAAAGAGACGTAAATCTGTTGTATTCTCGGAGTGGCGAACCTGTGGTGAAGTTGGAGTCTCGACAAAGTTCGCCCACGCCTTCTATCCAGGTTAGCTATATTGCAGTCTTTTCGCTTTTTTTCCATTCGTGTCTTTTCTTTCTTGGAACTTTGTAATTTACTGCAATCGTTATACGACAGCATCATAAACCTATTGCTGATATGTCTAGTTTTGATCAAGACTAATCAGGAAATAAGTTAGGAGTGACCTTTCAATTTGAGATAAACACTGCCTTGAAGATGAAACTGATCCCAATTCGGATTTCTGAGCAAAAAATTACGAAGGTTGTTATAGTTATGAATTTTAGTACATGATCTTAAAAAGTCGTTGATTTGGCTTTCAAGACGGGTAGCGCTAAGTTATGTTTGAGTTACAAATTCACTGAGCAGAGTATCCCACAACTATTCAAGCTTTAGGAGATGTTATGACTGTTTTTATTCTAGCTGCACATTCAAATTTTTGCTCATAAAAACCTTCATAACTCATCGTGGAAATCCGGATGAGTTAGGCAGATTTGGAATCCGCGTTTTATATCCTTATAGGCAGTGTACGTCTCAAATTGAAAGGCCACTCTGTCTAACCATCATTTCCTCGTTTATTGGTTTCGACCCTTGCACTATAAGCCGGGAGATCATGCCATTTGCATGACCTCTGATCTGAGATAAGGGAAAACATGGAGAGTCTCAGACACCCTCCTACATATATTGTATGAAGCGGTCGTTTTGATTCCCACAAAAACGCTTCATTGCTTAAGAGCCGTCGTCCTATGAGGACTTCTTTCCAAAATAGTTTTCCGTAGATCCAA